GAGAGAGAGAGAGAGAGAGAGAGAGAGAGAGAGAGAGAGCATTTGATGCATGACGCAAATTTTGAATTTTCTTTCCCAAAGAGGGGAGACGAGGAGAGGCGACTTCACGAGTACAGCTGCAGATACGCCCCTCCCCTCCCTGAATGCCAAAATCTATAACGGCTCGGGTGCTGTAGACCTGTATTCCCCCGGGTTCGAATGAATTTGGACCGGAGGGGCAGGTCGATTCGGCTTCCGGGTTAATGGCCGCCCCAACCGGTAGGTACTGGTGCAGCTTCCCACCAATTGTCAAAGGACGCTAGACCCCGTTTCCAGCAGGTGCGATTCCCCACCAATGGAACAGAGCATTCCATGAGCGGGGCTGTAGAGGGGGTGTCTGCTCCTACCAGCACCTCCTCCACCCCACGCTCCCGGTGTTTCTTAAAAAAAATGGAGATCACCCTCCCAAGGGGGACAGCACAACCAGATGTCGGCCGGTACAGACATCAGAGCCCTCGGGCATATGATTGCCCACCTCACTCTTCAAGATTTGTATCGACACCTGTATCCTACCAAAAGAGCGTACACATGTGTCAAATCTAGAGGAACGCAAGGCATAGCGAATTCTAGGATTGATCTGCGCCTCATATCAGAAGAAATAGCAGGGCTCGTCACTGTAGCAGAATTATGCACCATCTCCCCGTACAAATCATTTGATCATCGCATGATTGTGGTAGGACTCTCTTTTCAGCCTCACATCGCAAAAGGACCACGGTTCTTGAAGCTTAACACCAATCTTCTAAAACTCACTTCCTTCCACACAGTGGTGACTGAGTTTTGGGCCTATTGGACTACTAAAAAGTCGGTAGAGGGCAGCCTGGTCCGATGGTTTAACACAGGGATTGCCCAACTGCGAGAGAGAGTGAAGAAATTCTCCATCAAACATGCAAGAGAACAAAGGGAGACTCTCCATCACCTACTCGCAGAGCTGGAGGAACGAGACAATCACTTGATGGACAACCCGGTGGATGCGGACACATTCAATGCCCTCCAAAGGGCGCGCACCCAACTGCAAGAATACCTGGATGATCAGGCACAAAAATGGAGAATTCAGGCACATATCTCCAAAAAATGAGGCCGGCGATTTGATGACAAAAGCTTTCTTCAGGAAAGCCAAAGCCAGTGGAAGACAAAGTACCGTCTGCTCCTTGGGACACCCATTCGATGATACCCAACCTCTAGGAAATAATGCGTACAAAATAGATGAATATGCCTCTACATATTACCAAAGACTCTTTACATCCGAAGCCAGATATAGACAGCCTA